AGAGAGAGAGAGAGAGAGAGAGAGAGAGAGAGAGAGAGAGAGAGAGAGAGAGAGAGAGAGAGAGAAAGAGAGAGGAGTGATGCAGAGGGAGGGAGAATGGGTGGGAGAGGGAGAAGGAGGGAGATAGATAAAGATAGATAGATAGACAGACAGACAGATAGATAGATGGATAGATAGATAGATAGATAGATAGATAGATAGATAGATAGACGGATAGATGGATGGAGAGAGAGAGTAAAAAAAATCGAAAGAAAATATACAAAAAACAAAATATGACACACAAAAAGAAGAACATTTAAACGAAGTTTGAAAAGACAAAGAAAACGGAGATTAAGAAAAAATAAAGAAAACGAAGAAGATAAAAGACAAAGAAAACAGAGAAGAAAAGATGAGGAAAACGAAGAAGAATGAAAAAGACAAAGAAAACGAAAAATAATAACAAAAAAGACAAAAAAGGAAAGAAAACGGAGAATAATAATGAAAAAAGAAAACGAAGAAAAAAAAATAAAAAATAAAAAAAAGAGAGAGAGAGAGAGAGAGAGAGAGAGAGAGAGAGAGAGAGAGAGAGAGAGAGAGAGAGAGAGAGAGAGAGAGAGAGAGAGAGAGAGAGGGAGAGAGAGAGAGAGAGAGAGAGAGAGAGAGAGAGAGAGAGAGAGAGAGAGAGAGAGAGAGAGAGAGAGAAATAAAGAAAGAAAGAGAGAAAGAAAGAGAGAGCGATCAATCAATCAAGAGAAAGATTGACACCCAAAAAAAAAAACTTTCTTCCGTACCGTGGTGGTGGGCGGTCCTGTTGGCGGGCGTAGCGACGAAGTGGGCGACGGTGACCACGGGGTTGGAGCGGCGTCGGCGCGGGCTCTGCTTCTTCCTCGGGATTTTCTTGACTGCTCTGTCCTGCTGGGGGTGAAGGGGGGTGAGGGGTGAGGGGTGAGGGGGGGTGAGGGGGGGGGAAGGTGAGGGAAGGAGGGAAGGAGAAAAAAAGGAGGAGGAAGAGGGGGAGAAAATCATTACATATATATATATTTTTTTTCTTTTTTTTTCCTTCTTTTTTTATCCTTTACAGTAAACAGAATCTATACATATATAATATCAATTAATATTGAATATTTGAAATAAACCATTGAAATTAAGAGTTTATTAAGATTAATTTCCTAAACTACAAAATACATGCTTAAATTGATAATATAAAACAGCTAAGTCATGCAAAACTATAATAAAACAATAAAACAAATAAAACAGCAAATGGGAAGCCGAAAATATGATAACAAATTTGCATAAAGTTGTAGTGGATATTAAATAATGAAGATATTTCCTTGCGACATAAAGAATATTACTCTCCGTTCCCGATAATAATAGTGATCAAGATAATGATGATGGTGATAGTGATGGTGATGGTGATGGTGATGATGATGATGGTGATGGTTATGGTGATGTTGATGGGGATGATGATAATGATGGTGATGATAGTGAAGGTGATGATGGTGATGATGATGATGATGGTTATGGTTATGGTGATGACGGCGGTGATAGTAATGGTGATGGTAATGATGAGGATGATGATGAGGATGATGATGAGGATGATGATGGTAATGATGATGGTAATGATAATGATAATGATGGTGATGATGATGATAAAAGATTCTACCCGAAATTCTACCTGAGCGCGGAGGGTTGACAGCGGTCTGCTCTCAAAGGCTTTCGGGCTCTCGGGCATCTGGGGCACGGGTTGGGGCACGGGTTGGGGCACGACCTGGGGCTGCGACATGACCTTGGCTGACTGGGGGACCACGCTGTTCGCTCGGGCACTGGCGCGCTCGGTCGCCTATTCCGTGGGGGGATGAAGGGACCCGGGGTCAGCAGGGGGCGAGTAGGGGGGGAGGGGGGGAGGGGGGGGAGTAGGGGGCGGAGGGGGATGCGGGAGGGAAGGGGGAAAGGGAGGGGGTGGATTGGAAGGAGAGGAGGGGAGGAGGTGGGTGGAGGGAGGGGGAGGAGGGAGGGGGTGGATTGGAAGGAGAGGAGGGGAAAAGGGGAAGGAGGGGGGGGAGAAGGGGAGGGATGGGGTGGAAGGAGGATGAAAGGGGCCCGTGTTGAGCAGGGGGCAAGTAAGGGGGGGTGGAGGGAGGTGGGAGGGAGGGGGGAGGTGGGAGGGAGGGGGAAGGGACCCGGGTTGAGTAGGGGGCGTGTAAGGGGGGGAGAGGTGGGAGGGAGGGGGGATGGGGGGAGGGGATAGGGAGGAAGGGAGGGGGAGAAGGGGAGGGGGTAGGAGGGAGTGGAAGGGGAATGGAATGGGCCCGTGTTGAGCAGGGGGCAAGTAAGAGGGGGAGGGAGGGGAAGAGGGGGAGGAGGTGGGAGGGAGTGGGAGAAGGTGGGATGAAGGGACCCGTAGGGGTGGGGGGGAGGCGGGAGGGTTAGGGGGAAGGGGGTGGAAGGTGGGAGGAGGGGACCCGTGTTGAGCAGGGGGCGAGTAGAGGGGGGAGGGAGGAATGGGAGGAGGGAATGGGAATGGAGGGAGGGGGAGGGGAGAAGGGGAGGAGGGGAGGGGGAGAATGGGAGGGGTGGAAGGGGGAGGAGGGGACCCATGTTGAACAGGGGGCGAATAGGGGGAGGAGGTGGGAGGAAGGGGGAGGTGGAGGTGGGAGAGAGGGGGAGGAGGGAAGGGGGTGGAAGGGGAAGAGGGGGAGGGAGGAGGGATGGGACGATGGGGCGTAGGGGACGGGGGAGAGCAGTGAAAGAGAAGATGCAGTGGTTTCTCTTTTTTGAATGTAGAATGATGGATAGACAGACAGATAAATAGATAGACAGATAAATAGATAGATAGAGGATAGATAGATAGAGGATAGATAGATAGAGACTGTGGCAGAGATATATAGATAGAGATAGAGAGAGATAGAGATAAATAGATAGAGAGAGAGACAGAGAGAGAGAGAGAGAGAGAGAGAGAGAGAGAGAGAGAGAGAGAGAGAGAGAGAGAGAGAGAGAGAGAGAGAGAGAGAGAGAGAGAGAAAGAGAGAGAGAACTAATACTGAAGTGAACATAAAGAACAGAAAATAAGTGAAAGCAAAATAAATGACTTAGCAAAACAAAACTGAAATTAAACATATATATAAAATTTCATTACATATATACACAGGATACATATTACAGCATATTTTAATAATACAATGGCAAGCACACAAGCTCCATGCAGTTTTTTTTGTGAATGAACAACCAACAACATTCGGTAATGCAAACACTGTCCTGAGTGCCAAGTGTATGTGTAAACATCTGTAACACAGATAAGGCATCCATTCAACACATAAATAAGGCCCTACCACACCTTACGTATACACTATGCTTCATACACTTAGGTTACAAGACATTGCATGCATTTCTCGTGTCTTTTGTTCACTGATTGTTTAAGATTTATTCATCTTATCTTCTTTAGGAAAATCATTCATCATTTCTCCACGATAATCAGATAATGTTGCACTTACACTTAGGATGAAAAGGTGCTGCTTGGCATTCAACGGCAAGCATCTTGTCACACGCACTGACAAACAGTACACGATGGACATTATGTAAGGTTGTGTGTGTTGGTCCGTGCGTATGTATGCGTCAAGATGCTCGTCGCGAATACTTACACACATATACAGGGTCACCTTACATGCTCTGTTTGCCATTCAGATATCATTTAATAATATCGAATTACTTTGTCTGGATTTGGTATAGTAATCAAACAATTTTCGACAGTTTTGAAAGAGAGAAATAATAGAGAGACGGATGTTTATGAAGGAGCGCACCGCAGCTGGTTGCCATGAATCGTCAGTCCTTTCAAACGAAGCTTTTACGCAAACCAGCAGTAATGTCAGTGCACTAAGAGGGTTGGGTTTAGGGCAGTGGAGTCAGAGGATATTTTGGACAGAGCTTTTAAAAAATAAAGTAGTTGTAAAAAGAGGCAGAAGGTGGAGTAATATCGTTTTTTATTTTGTTTTGTTTTTCTTTGGAGATGTTTCGTTGCCTGATGTTACTCGGGTAATGTTTAATTTAGGGACGTCTTTTATTCCCTTTTTCTGGATTTTAGTAAATGTTGAAGCTCTAAAAAAGGCATGGAAGGTGACTTCTTCTGTCTGACATGTATAGGTGTAGCTCTGACAGATAGGCAGGAAGAGAATACTTACACAGTCCTGGACAACATATTTACACATACACACATGTACAAAACCGCACACACACGTTCGACAAATGCAAGACAAGCGCAGATATACATCTCTTACACACAACACACACAAGCACAAAAAATGACACCCTTACTTATCTGGCTACGATATCATCTCAAGTTAAAAGTGGTTTACATAATGAGATCAACGAGACATTCCAAAAGTGAATACACGCGCATGTGCTAATGTGTGACCCCAGATCGTCCTGGATTCTTTACTGTGTTTTCCGTATACCTAATGTACAAGCATACTTATGTAACGTAGCCTACTTGTAACACGTAAATGTTAATGTTCTGTTGGTGAGTCTGACATAGAGACATAATTTATTCATCGTTTACAGACTTATATTCGTATTAGCTTCTATCCCTTTCATTTTCTTCTCTCTGTCTATCTCTATCTTATTATGTCTTTTATATGTCTGTCTATATACTTGCTTATATTTTATGTAAAACTCGTACGGACACACAAAGACAAACAAAAACTTTCGTACAAAACCATAGATTTACTATACATGGATTCTCTACTCTTTTTACACACACACACACACACACACACACACACACACACACACACACACACACACACACACACACACACACACACACACACACACACACACGCACACACACACACACACACACAAACACACACACACAAAACCACCCGTACACACACACACACACACACACAAACACACGACACAGAAAGGACGCGCACATAACGGAAGCTCCCGCCACTACCTTGACCAAGCCCTCGCGGAAGAAGACAGGGGCAGGTTTTGTGTTAGAGGGTGTTCGAGACTTCTGGCGGCGGCGCACACTCCTGCCCGGCCCTTGGAGACTCTGGGAAGGTCAATGCCGTGGCCTGGTTATGGGCGTAGGTCCAAACGAAAAGGCGGAGGCGGCGGTGGGAAGGGTGGGTGGGTTGGATAGCATGTATGTCGAAAGGGTAGGGAGGTAGGGGAAAGGTATGGTATGGGGTTACAGGAAAAGGGGACGGAGTCGGGATAGGGAAGGGACATGTGGGATAGGGTTCTAGGTTCTATTTGGGAGCGAAGCGTGTGATCAGAGATGGTACCATGGGAAGGGTATAATGTGTTCTTGGTAGGATTAGGCTGCAATGATAGGAATGAGTGGCAGCGACAGAGAAAGTGGCAGAAGAAATGGATGAAAAAGTCTACGAAGACGACAGAACCTCCACGAAGGAATGTGTGAAGGTGAAAAGGACAGCGTTAATCCTCGGTGAAGCAAGAAGGCTGGGGTCTTTAGTACAGAATTTAAAGAACTGAGAAGATGCGTACGAAGATCATTGCAAAGGCGCAGCTTGCATTTAGATAAAGGGTGCCTAAGCAATAGACAAAATACCGAAGAATTTATAGAAGAGAAAAGAACATAGAGAAAGCCAATGTTTACGAAAGCTTAAGTCCTTACATGCCAAAAAAAAAGAAAGAAAAGAAAAGCAAATTATAACCAAGCATACGAAATCGAACTTGCAAAGAGATCTTATAGTTCGTGAAAGAACAAAAACTTGGCCAAAGATATTAGAGCGTTAAAAAAATTAAAAAGAAAGTGAAGAGTATGCCAAAAGACCGTTAGTGCCGTAGAAAAAGAGACTTTGCGAAAGACAGGGAGCGTTATGATAAAATTACAGAGAAAAAGCATCGTTCGCATAATGAAGATGAAGTACCACAATGAAAGACCATGAAATCAGATAATGAAAACAAAAGGTTAGGACTCTAGTCGTGTTCAGAGGTGTGACTCTGCTTATCACGGGATTTAAGATAACAATTAACCTTGCAGTGATTTTAGACTGATTAGGAGAAAGCAGTTTAACTGAACACCACTATGATGTAGCTGTCCTAGCACTACACTGAGTACATGTAAATTACAGTTAACATTACTGGCTAGCTTAAGGTGATTGAAAGGTTATTAAAAAACAAATGCGTTAAAATGCCTCTTACACTAAAATTTTGAAGAGAGAAAAATAGTCACTTGCCGAATGTTAAAAGGTAGAATCAAACCCTACGTTGGTTATTAAATAAAAGACTTTTGCACCAATAGCAACTTCATTAAAAAGGCATAGCACGAAAAAAAAACTAAAAAAATACAAGAAAAAAACAACTCAAGAAGGAACGTAAATACTAAATAAATAAAAAATAGAAAACCTAAAAAAAGAAACTAGAGAGAGAGAGAAAACAAATCACCCCCGCCATACCTTCACGCGAGACCTCCTCCTAAGCACTTGGTTCCGAGCGGCCTGGCGGATCACCTCTGCGTCGGATTCCTCGCTGCCGTCCAGTTCGTTCCCGTGGTTCCTGGAGGAGAGTTTGCCTGAGGAATACCGGCGTCGCTCCTTAGGCACCCACATACTCGATATTCTGAAGGTTCAAGCGGACAGGCAGCGCGAAGATCAGTATAAGACGTCAAAGCTTGGGTTATAAGGGGAGATGATAGCGTAGACCAAGAGGGACGTTTCTTTTTTTTCAGATTTTTTTTTCACATTTCATCTTTTTGGTGTTTTTTCTCTTTTTTTATTTGGTCTCATATTAATGCAAAACAATGGGGGGGTTATTGTGACTTTTCCTGACAGCCCCAGGATGTGATCACGAAGTTAATCGCTCTCCAGGAGGCTCTCTGTGGATTCTGAAGGTAAAGCTTACTAAGTCATCATTATGGAAGGACTCTACGGGGAAACACAACGAAGCATGCACTACTACGTTCGTTTTTTGGGTATCACAGATCCTTTGTTTTGGCTGCGATTCCACACTGATTTTGAGAGAGGAAACATTTTCTGTTATGGCAACATAAGTAAACAATATGAAAAGATTACATGACATATATCATTAACATAAATATATCCTCTCAAAAAAAAGAAGAGTTATTCTAAACAAAACAAAAAACATCACTACTTTGTTAATCACTACACAACATAGAAACACATAAGAAACACAGTAAATTGGGTTAAAAAAACACACACTACTTATAAACAGATAAAAAAGTTAATACTATGTACATACAGTATATACAAACCAACCAATAACGGGAAATTTCTCGTTACCATCACCTTTTATCATAACCAGTCTTGTTCACAGGAGAGTTGTACCTTTGACTATATTTGCATCACTGACACTCTCTCCTTTGGTGTTGTCTGTCAGTCCTTCTTAGTCTTTGTTTTGTTTGTTTTTTTATTTGTTTATGTGTTGACCTTTTCAAGTGAATGGTATATATATTTTTTTATACTATCTATCGGTTTATAAATAGATAGATATATAGGAGAGATAAGTAGATAGATAGATAGATAGATGGACAAATAGATATATAAATAGATAGATAAATAGATAGATAGATAGATAGATAGATAGAGATAGATAGATAGATGGATAGATAGATAGATAGACAGAGAGAGAGAGAGAGAGAGAGAGAGAGAGAGAGAGAGAGAGAGAGAGAGAGAGAGAGAGAGAGAGAGAGAGAGAGAGAGCGAGAGAGAGAGAGCGAGAGAGAGAGAGAGAGAGAGAGAGAGAGAGAGAGAGAGAGAGAGAGAGAGAGAGAGAGAGAGAGAGAGAGAGAGAGAGAGAGAGAGGAACTAAAAGAAAATAAAAAAGGAAGAGAAAGAGAGCGAAAGAAAGAAGGAGGACACGTAAACAGCGCGAGGAAACCGCCCTGAACAAGAGAGACACCCATAACAAGGACCATTTATAACACCCATGAGAACTCCGGAGTGATGAATGCCCTGGGCGATAAAGCTCCTTAAGAATGAGGTTCTATCGCTCGCTTATCATCGGAGGGGAAGGGAGGGGGGGGGTGAATAGGAGGAAGGGGGGGGAGGGGAGAAGGAGGAGGGAGGGGAGGTGAGAAGGAGTAGGGAGGGGAGGTGAGAAGGAGGAGGGGGTGAGGAGGAGAAGGAGGGAGGGGAGGTGTTAACACGCGGGACGATGTTAGCATTGAGATGATATCAGATGTCAAGACACTCTGTTATCAACCTAAAGTAAGACGCCATGCTGTGTAGGACTTTACTCGGTCAGCTGATGAGACGTTTGTGGAAAATCGGATTTTATGTCAGTTACTGTTCTGGTGCTTGTTGTTTAATGATCACTCTGTGGATTATAATGTATTTTCTTTCATATACACACTGAACAAGGCAGTTATATAAATATGAACACTGTGAATTGTTTTGTATGTGTAAAAATCGAGATCATTATTTTAAAATTCAGTGTATTTGGGGAAAAAAAGTAAAACAAAATTCATTCTCCAACGGAGCTAATGAGACTCATTAAAGACAAGAAGTCAGATAATACTTTTGATTACGGCTATAAAATGAGTTTGATATCATAACAGGCTTCATTAAACCGATAAACAACACGTTAGTTTCGTTTTTCGTTATGGATTAAAACCGCTTTGAGATTATTCGAATGATTCATTGTTTTTTTTTTCTTTGTGAGGCGCCTTAGGATAATGGAAATAATTAATGTGTTTTTTTTAACGAATACAGATGCCCCGTAATAATATATTAAACCTTTTTTTTAAGGTCAATGTGATTAATTTCTTCTGTAGTTTGAGTGTTTTTAATCCTCCTATATCAAATCCTACACACATATATTCTTAATAAATAGTATTCTCTTTTACATCATTTATTAGAATCGCACGTACCATGTCCATGAAGTTCCATGAGCAAGCTATTGAAATATATCATGTCTTTGATATATTAACTCTTTCAAGGCGATGATGTATTTGGCGTAGATAACAGGAGAGCGAAATTAATACAGGTCTCGGTTATTACTCATATTTCAACGATGATATATGTCATAGTAAAGCGAAAACGATACGGTGTGCGAACTGAGAGAAGAGTGAAGGTCGGAGAAGAAAAGAGGAAGTAAAGGAAATGAATAAAAAGGAAATAAAGTATAGTGGTGAAAAATAAACCGATGAATGGATATATATATATTCATAAATAAATAAATAAACAAATATAAATATATATATATATATATATATATATATATATATATATATATATATATATATATATATATACATATATATATATATATATATATATATATATATATATATATATATATATATATATATATATATATATATATATATATATATATATATATATATATATATATATATATATATATATATATATATATATATGTATATATATGTATGTATGTATGTATGTATGTATGTATGTATGTATGTATGTATGTATGTATATATACACACACACACAAACATAGAAGGAAAGATATGGGTGATTAGCAGATAGAGACAGAAACAAAAACTTCCTCCTTCTCCCTCCAACCCCTTCGCTTCCCCTTTCCCTCACCCTCACCTCGCCCCTTCTTCTTTTCCCTCCCTCCCTCCCTCTCCCTCCCTCTCCCTCCCTCTCCTTCCCTCCTCCTTTCCCTCCTTCTCCCTCCAACCCCTTCGCTTCCCCTTTCCCTCACCCTCACCTCGCCCCTTCTTCTTTTCCCTCCCTCCCTCCCTCCCTCCCTCTCCTTCCCTCCTCCTTTCCCTCCTTCTCCCTCCAACCCCTTCGCTTCCCCTTTCCCTCACCCTCACCTCGCCCCTTCTTCTTTTCCCTCCCTCCCTCCCTCTCCCTCCCTCTCCCTCCCTCTCCTTCCCTCCTCCTTTCCCTCCTTCTCCCTCCAACCCCTTCGCTTCCCCTTTCCCTCACCCTCACCTCGCCCCTTCTTCTTTTCCCTCCCTCCCTCCCTCTCCCTCCCTCCCTCTCCCTCCCTCTCCCTCCCTCTCCTTCCCTCCTCCTTTCCCTCCTTCTCTTTCCCTCTTCACCTCTCTTTTCCCTTTTCCTCCTCTTCTCCTTTCTCTTATTCCTTTTCCTTTTCCTAACTCTCTTTTCTTCCCCCTCGTACCCCTTTTCCTTCCCTCGCCGTCTCTCCTTTCCCTTCCTCCCTTCTCTTTCCCTCTTCACCTCTCTTTTCCCTTTTCTCTTCCTCTCCTCTCCTTTCTTTCCCTTTTCCTCCTCTTCTCCTTTCTCTTATTCCTTTTCCTTTTCCTAACTCTCTTTTCTTCCCCCTCGTACCCCTTTTCCTTCCCTCGCCGTCTCTCCTTTCCCTCCTTCTCCCTCCAACCCCTTCGCTTCCCCTTTCCCTCACCCTCACCTCGCCCCTTCTTCTTTTCCCTCCCTCCCTCCCTCCCTCCCTCCCTCCCTCCCTCCTCCCTCCCTCCCTCCCTCTCCTTCCCTCCTCCTTTCCCTCCTTCTCCCTCCAACCCCTTCGCTTCCCCTTTCCCTCACCCTCACCTCGCCCCTTCTTCTTTTCCCTCCCTCCCTCCCTCCCTCTCCTTCCCTCCTCCTTTCCCTCCTTCTCCCTCCAACCCCTTCGCTTCCCCTTTCCCTCACCCTCACCTCGCCCCTTCTTCTTTTCCCTCCCTCCCTCTCCTTCCCTCCTCCTTTCCCTCCTTCTCCCTCCAACCCCTTCGCTTCCCCTTTCCCTCACCCTCACCTCGCCCCTTCTTCTTTTCCCTCCCTCCCTCCCTCTCCCTCCCTCCCTCTCCCTCCCTCTCCCTCCCTCTCCCTCCCTCTCCCTCCCTCTCCCTCCCTCCCTCTCCCTCCCTCTCCCTCCCTCCCTCTCCCTCCCTCTCCCTCCCTCTCCCTCCCTCTCCCTCCCTCTCCCTCCCTCTCCTTCCCTCCTCCTTTCCCTCCTTCTCCCTCCAACCCCTTCGCTTCCCCTTTCCCTCACCCTCACCTCGCCCCTTCTTCTTTTCCCTCCCTCCCTCCCTCTCCCTCCCTCCCTCTCCCTCCCTCTCCCTCCCTCTCCCTCCCTCTCCCTCTCCCTTCCTCTCCCACCCTTTCCCTCCACCTCTCCCTCCCTCTCCCTCCCTCTCCTTCCCTCCTCCTTTCCCTCCTTCTCCCTCCAACCCCTTCGCTTCCCCTTTCCCTCACCCTCACCTCGCCCCTTCTTCTTTTCCCTCCCTCTCCTTCCCTCTCCCTCCCTCCCTCCCTCCCTCCGTCCTCCCTCCCTCCCTCTCCCTCCCTCCCTCCCTCCCTCCCTCCCTCCCTCTCCCTCCCTCCTGACTTGCCTGTGACGATCCCTTGATGCGAAATTCCCCAGTTCATGTTTCCTGTTCCATGAAACGCAATCCCGCCCGAAAGTGACGATCATTAAGCCTTAATAACACCCAATTACATTAATTTCACACCAGGAACGACCGAGATCACCACCGCCACCCACAACGCCTTCGCCCACGCATCTGTGCTGCTTTACTGGCGTGCACTCGCTCATGCACTCAACGAGGAAATTCCACATAAGACCTCACAAATACACACAGGCAGATAGACAGACACGCGCAAATACACACAGACAGACAGGCACACATAGACAGAAATGCATACACACACGCGCACACA